GAATTTAGTGCAAGTAAGGAAAAAAGTTGAGACATCACGAAAAATGTTGAGACAAAAACATGAACTATTCACGCACATTTCTTAAATTAAAACTTAAATCTAAATGTTGCTGTTTAGGTGTGATAGCAGGACGGATCTAGGATTTCAAGTCAAGTGGGGTGAATCTTTTTCACTAGTGTCGCGGGGTGATTTTTTCACTAGATAGGGCCCAACAACTATTTTTTATTCAAAAAGAGTCATTAATACATACATAGCGGCATTTAAATTTATTACATTCTAAGTTTAGAGAATGGATAAATTATTTTAATATTATAATTGAAGTGCTCTAGAAAAAAGTATTGATACATTAAATCGTAAGAAATGACAAATCAAAGGAAAGTCATTTGAAATTTTAAAATGATATGTAACATTTTATCAAATTATTTAAAGATAAAGAGTTTAAAAGGTTTACCTCCGCCAATACTTTTTAAGTAACTTCTTCCTTGTTTAACCACAAGAATGTTTTCGGAATATAAAATTGGCTTTTGAATTGCAATTTTTTATCTACCAATTAGGGTGTTCGTGAGTCACGAAAAATCTTCTTAATATTACAATAGTATGTATGAGATTATTTATATTTAGAATAATATCATAATGCTAATTCATAAAGATGGTGTGTATTAATGCTAAAATAAGTTAATGTTATTATCTGTGCAATAAATTGTTTTTAGAAGGTAAAAAGTAAATGAATTGTGTAATTTAATGTCAACAAAAAAATTATTTTTTGAATTTACTTCACACGATCTAAAAAATTTAAGGTATAAAGTAAATGAATTGTGTATGTAATATCATTTGATATTTTACAAAATCGAGTACTAAATATCTAAGAAAAATAATTAAAATTACAAAACTACGTAGTAAGTGTTTTTATATAATAAGTATCTTAAATAATGAGTTGTTCTATAGTTACAATGTTTAAGTAAGGTATAAGGGTCAAATTGGACACTATGGTTACATGTGAATATATATTGGACACTAAAGTTTCAAATGAACCAAATTAGATACTATATATATGGTTACATGTGTATTTCGAACACTAAAATTTCAAATGAATCACTTATAACGTTTTTGTGATCATTCTTGAGCACCTACAAAAGATTTGACATTTGAAAGCTATAACTCCTATAAGTATTTCTTTTATGGATCACTTATAAGTTATAACGGAAGACTTAGTCAATGACGTGTCTATTTTAGGCCCAAATCAGTACGAGTATTATATTTTGGTCCGCATTAATCAGTCACGCTAAGCCCTATAATTAGCTACTGGGTTTGCTCAACAAATTTAGAAAGTTCTATTCTGGCACGTAGCCCAAAATGTACTACGTATATGTTTATATCAACTGACAATCTTCATGTCCAGCCGGTTTGACGAGAACCGCTGTCCAACCAAGGGTGTTTCGGGTCCTTCCTGATGAAATCTTTTGATGAATTTTTTTTGGGAATGTTATTTATCAAGTTTAGTTTATCCATACCAAATTTCAGCTAAAATTTTAATTGGGAAGGCAGTCAAATAAGCTTTTGAAAACCACTGCGCAGTTTATGCATATTTGACTGCACAGTTTTCTTAAAGAGATAATTACCCTAGGTGTGACTAAAACTTCTCCATTTTTCCAATCTATGACTTAACTAGTTTTTTTTACCAAAATAATATTAATATTTAATTAAATTTGTAATTATTAAACAATTAAAAAATATAGGTGGACAAATTTACCCTTAACGTTATATCTATAAAACCCTAAACTCCTACTCTTTTCTCCAACCCTAGCCTCCATTCTCCCACCTCCATAGATCCATCCGCCTGCCGTCACACGTCCGCTGCCGCCGCCGCCCCATGGCCCACCGTCAGCCGCCTTCCATAAGCACGATCACCGCCTAGGAGCACGCCGCCCTATGACCCGTCATCCTCTACTTCAAGGATTCAACATGCGATGCGAGTACTTGGTTCACATGGCCGACAACGAGTCATCTGCGTGGTTGTCTGAGGCCGGTGCGGTGGTGGCGCCTAATCTGGTTTGACCCGCTTCAATGGCCGCCTTCCTCCGAGCGTGTAGGATCTTGGGCTTTTTTCAAAAACTTGGGTGGAGCCGGCACTTAATTTGAAGGGAGGTTACGTTGCGTCTTCATCTTCAAAGGGGAAAGAAAATCTTGCCAATCTTGCTTTGGATGGAAATACGAGGGATAGATGTGGGTGAAGTGATTGTTGATAGAAAGTGGGTTATTGCCCGGCCGTCCTATTCAATTCTTATTCTTGTTTCTCCAATTTTCAAATTAAGGTTTGTGAGCATTAAATATGAACAATATATGAATATGGGCAGTAAGCATTATAATTTTTTTTTTATCGTGCAGTGAGCATGATAATTGATATTGCTAAATATTGTGACTGAATTTATGGTTTGTGGGTATTAAAAATTGACATTTCACATGGAAATAATTGTGGCAATGAATGTCACAATATATATGTTGTACATGATAGTGAATGAATGCATTGATAAAGTTTGTTGTGCAGTGAATATGACCAATAGTGCAATTATGCCGCCATGAAACACAATATACTTAATTAGACATAAAATAATAAAATTATTAAATTTAAAAAATCCTCAATTAACGGCAATTAATTTTAGGGGAAGTGCAGTGATTATTATCCCATGTGCAGTAAAGTCATGCATTAATTTTATGCATTAACGACAATATAAAGTGCAGTAATATAATTATAATTAAACGAAATTAGTGCAAAATGCACATATTTTAAAAAAGGGTATTTTTGTCATTCAACATTTAAATATAAAGGAATTTTCTTTTTCTTTTTTTGGATTTTTGGTCATACAAAGGTATAAAAACTAGTTAGGTCATAGATTGGAAAACTCATTGAGTTTTAGTCATATCCTGGTAAATTTCCCTTTCTTAAATAACTTATTTCACTACCTTCCTGATTGAGGTTTTAGCTAAAATTTGGTATGGATAAACTAGACTTGATCAAGAACATGCTCAAAAAAACTCATCAAAAAAAATTCAACCGGGAAGAGCATGAAACAGTCTTGGCCGGACGGCGGTTCCCCGTCAGGCCGACTGGACAGGAAGACTACCTATATCAACTACAAAGATAATGTGGTTATGTGAGGTACGCAGTGACCTATTTATTTAAGCACGACTTTGCTCATAACAAAAAGTCAAAAAGTCTTGGAAAATGATAAATCTTTTGACATTTTCATGACAGTTTGACAATTAACCATTTGTCCATTTAAACATCATATTCTCTGTCATTTTCATGAACAAGAATGATCAACATTCTTATTTCAAATGTGTTTGGTGATCCTACTTTTAAGTTTTAGTAATAAACTTTTTCATCAAACACATAATTTTTTATTTCACTCGCCTAATTGGCATTTTTTATTACAAAAAATGTCATCCTATTTTCCGATAAATCGAAATACACATCTGTGTTTCACATATATAATGCACATTTCTAAAATATAACACATCAGATTCATTTTCATTTATCACCCCCTCCTTCCAAATTAGTCCTTGAGAATTACCGCCATTGCGTGCTTGCATCCTCTATGTGTGTTCTACTCATGCAAATAATTTCTAGTGTGCTTATTTTCATAAATAATTCAAAATATGATTAAAATAAGGATAAAGTTCATCACTATTATGATTTTATTCTCAAAATATAATTCATCCACTCATATTTTGGAAAGTTTTAATCGACTTATTCCCTAAATTAGTATTTCCTCCGTTCCATAAACCATGGTCATTATTAACATTTCTTGATCAATGTTGTCGAGTTTCACCAATGATGTTTTTAATATTAAGTTATTGTAAATATGTAAATTGTATGGAAATGTTCTTTTCATAAAAATGTTACTTGTTAAAAATATTTTCATAAAATATATGAAGTAGAAATTATAAGTTTCACACATATAGGGAGTATAATAAGTAAAGTCATTGTCTAAAGTTCATTACTCCTATCATTAACCAATCAAATTAACTAAATTTTGTGGGACTAAAAGAATACGGAGTACTGTTTAGAAAATAAAATATACTCCGTACTTCTTACTCCCTCGAGTATGTATATGGTACATCTGGCTGTACGGTGAGCACCGTATAGCCAGCCCAGGAACAGGCCCAAGGGAAAAAGAGCAAAACAATTCGGTGGCGTTTTTGTAATTAATGTAAAAATCGTGGTTTCTGCGAAATGAGCATTAGTGTATTGTTAATGAGCAATAGTTCAATTTTAATGTGTATTAAGCGTCCAATACTGAGCACCGTGTTATTACAAGAAAGCTGATATCAGTATATCACAACAAAAAAAACGGTGTCATTTTCGTAATTTCAGTGAAAATCACGGTTTTCATTAGACATTTAATGAGCACCAAACGTATTCTATTGAACATTAAGACTAAAATAATGAGTATTGTGATATTAATTTCATATATTGTAATTCACTTTTTTTCTTATTTCTTCTTTTATAAAATCTCATTAAATTATATCTATAATCAAATTTCAATATGCGAATTTAATGTAGTATGATATGTTTGAAATGTGAAACCTTTTAAAATGAGCATAAAGCAGTACCAAATGAGCACACATAACTTCCAAAATGAGCATCAAAAAAATCAAAAGTTCATTTGTGTGTGCACATTCGTTTTGGACGTTTTACTCATTTGAGTTTAACATATAACTCGTTTCTAATGTGAATTTAATGTAGTATAATATGTTTGAAATGTGCAACCTTTTAAAATGAGCATAAAACAGTACCAAATGAGCATACATAACTTACAAAATGAGTAAAAAAATTTAAAAACTCATTTGTGTATGCTCATTCATTTTGGGATTTATGCTCATCTGAATTTTAATATAAACTCATTTCTAATATGCTCAATATTTATTTGTGTATGTTCATTCTTTTTAGGTATTATTGTACTTATTTCAAATATGTCCGTCCAATACTCCAAAAATGTGATTCGGCCAAAAAGGATTCTTCAATTATTTTACTTGCAAACAATGGCCATGTGCTTCAAATTGTGAATTGCGAATTACAAAGCATTATACTTAATTGGAAGCACTATTTTGCTTCAATTATACAAAAAAAAAATGAAGCTTCAGAGTCCGTTCCTTATCTTCTTCAATTATACTTCGTGTGCTTTGTTATTCGCATTATACCAGACGAGCATCATCAGCCGGTTCTTGTCGTGTGATTCAGAGTCCGTTCACTGCTTCAGAGATTCCGTTCATTGTTGTCCTTCACTGATGAGTTACAGAGCCCGAATTTATTTGAAAAAAGGGCCGGCTGTACGGTGCTCACCGTACAACCGGTTGTACGGTATAATTTACGTTACTCCCTCTGTCCCGCTAAGATCATTCTGTTTTCCTTTTTTAGCCGTCCCAAATTGATCTTCTCATTTCTCTAAACGGAAAGTTATCATACATCAAAACAGTGTCAAACAGTACCAAACAGTGTACTCTACACTAAATTCAAATTTATTTCCTATGTGTAGGTCATATCGGAAGTTCTTAGCCGGAGGTAGTATTTTTTTTTCACTTATGGTGGAACAATTTATGTAACTATAAATAGATATTCTCATCAACATATACGAAATCTACCACAGCCTTAAAACCAATGGCGGCTCAGTCTTGTTCAACTCCAGGAAAGGAAGCAGATGTGGCAGTGGTGATGGTCCCTCTTCCGGCACAGGGCCATCTCAACCAGCTCCTCCACCTCTCCCGCCTCATCTCCGCCCGCGGAATCCCCGTACACTACGTCGGATCCTCCACCCACATCCGCCAGGCCACGACCCGGGTTCACGGTTGGGACCCACACAATACACCCAACCTTCATTTCCACGCCTTCCCCCTGCCGCCGCAATTCGAATCACATCAGCCGCCGGCTCTAGCCACCGCCGCCTCCACCAAATTCCCCTCCCATCTGTTCCCGGTGTTCGAGGCGACAGAACAGCATCTCCGGCAGCCCATCGCTGATCTAGTCAGTGACATCGCCGCCGCCAAAAAACGAGTGGCTGTCATCGCCGACGAGCTTATGGGTTGGGTGGTACCTTCTGTCATTCAAAAGGCAGAGGTCTATCGTTTCCGTTGCGTTTCAGCCTTCTGCACTTATTCCTACCATTGGGAAGCTGCCGGAAAACCTGTGGTCGGGAAAGATGCTGATCAGCTGCTGAGTTTCCTGCCGTCCGGCGAAGGCTGTTTCCCGCCTGAGTATTTAAAATCAGTCAAATTACAGAGACGATATTGGAAGGAAATCTCAGGGGATATTGTGAATTCCAATCGAGAAATAGAAGCCCCATTTCTCGATCTTCTCCGCGGTGTATCAAAGGGACTTCAATGGGCGGTTGGTCCATTCAATCCGATTTCTTTCAGCAACGAAATAGACCCCAAGAATCGCCACAAATCCCTGGAATGGCTGGACAACCAGGAAAAAGACTCTGTTTTGTTCGTATCCTTTGGAACGACGACCCCACTTTCCGGCGACCAAATAACAGAGCTAGCCATAGGCCTGGAACAGAGCACCCAGAATTTCATTTGGGTGCTCAGAGACAGAGACAGAGGAGACCTTTCCGACGGCGGCGGCGCCGTCAGAGCGGATTTGCCCGATGGGTACGAGGAAAGAACGCGGGAAAGAGGCCTTGTGGTCCGGGACTGGGCCCCGCAGCTGGAGATTCTCGGCCACGCGTCGACCGGAGGGTTCTTGAGCCATTGCGGGTGGAATTCGTGTATGGAGAGTATTTCCATGGGAGTGCCGGTGGCGGCCTGGCCGATGCACTCCGACCAGCCGAGGAATGCCACTCTGATAACGCGCGGTCTGAAGGTCGGGATCAGCTTGATGGACTGGGACCGGCGGGATGAAATAGTGAACCGGGAAGGAGTTGCGGAAGGAGTGAAGAAGCTAATGGCGTCAAAAGCGGGAGAGGAAGTGAGGCAGAACGCTGTGAAGCTGAGTGAGAGTCTGAAAATGTCAATCAGTTCCGGTGCCGGCCGCGCTGAATTGGAGTCCTTCATAAGTCACATCAGGAGAGACTCCGGTGGCCCGCTAGTCGAACCTAATCCAACCGCTATACGTTCCGCCATTTAAATATGGAAATTACACTAAAAATGGTTTTGAAATTCTAAAATAGAGGTTTTTGTACGTTAATAAGAATAATTATTGTTAAGTTTGGAAAATATTGTCATGTGTATGTCTAGTAAAGTCAAAACATGATAATAATTACTCTAGTTTAGAAAATAAAAATGACAATTCTATTTTAGAATTTAAAAATACTTCTACGCCTATTTGTGCCCAACTTGGGGTTTGGGTTGTTGGCGGTGTCAATACCAGATGAGTAGAAAAGTAATAAAACAAATATTGTATTTTACATTATAAACCAAATACTCGAATCTTGAGGAAGGAAAAACTACCAAAAAATAACAAACTCAAACAATATGATACTCAAACGGGAAGATTGAATTAGTATTGATTAATGTTGTTGATTTTGTATTAATAAAGATTTCCATTCTTGGTGAGAATGTATCCAGATTTGTAGGAATTGCATATGTCACATACATGTTTGGATGGAAGAAAAGAGTCACCGAAGTCTCACAAAACCATTCCAATTAAAATAGATGCAGTTCTGAGTAAAAACCATTCCAAAAAAAAAGTTGAAGGCTATCACTTTAGTTTGCGGCGTGTGGAAACGAGGATAGATCATAGATGCGCTTGTCAAGAATCTGGAGAAAGGAATGAGGAGAAGGGACAAGAAGAGCACAAGAATAAAAAAAAGGATGACATTCTATCACGGTCCGGATAGTTAACCGGAAGGATGTAACTTGCACTTAAATAAAAAAAAATGATAGATAACGAGTGAAGCTCTGGCTCAAATACTTGTAGGGGAGAGAAGAAGAATAAAAGAGAGAAGAATGAAGGGAGGGGAATGGAGGAGAGAATGGAGGAGAGAATGGAGGAGAAGATTCTAAGACATCTAGCAATTGATATTTTGCAAAGGGTGAGATATATGCACATTATAAAAAGGGAATGTTCTTTTTCATGGCATGCACACATATTTATGTGTGTATATAATAAATCATAAATTTTTTGGCCTTATAATATACTTGTACGTAGTATTAATATTTACGTAGTATATTTGAATGAGTGAATGACGAATTATCAATGTCTTTTATATATGAGAAAATTGTCCAAGATAGGACTAAAACTCAACCTTTTTCTCAAAATAGGACCACATGCATGTTTTTCTCTAAATAGGACTAACCTTACCTTTTTTACCCCTAATTCTATTTAATTAATTAATTAATCTAAATAATTGCCCCCCTAGTTTCCTTGCACAACCAAGGCAGTCCGTCGGTGGCGGGGCAGTCCGTGGTGGCGGCAGCACTCCGGCAGCGGCCGGCTGCGGATTCCGGCGGCGGCGGCAACTCTGGCAATTAATTAACCCAATTAATTGCCCCCCCTAGTTCTCTTGCACAACCAAGGCAGTCCGTTGGTAGCGGGGCAGTCCGGAGGTGGCGGCAGGTTGGCGGCAGTGGAAGAGGCGGTTTCTGGCGGCGGCGGCCGGCGGCAGGTGGCGGCAGAATGTTGGCAAACCTCCAGAAAAAAATCTGGAATTTTTCCGGCGGCGGTCGCCGGAGCTCCGGCGGCGGCGGCAGGCGGTAGGCGGCGGTCCGGCAGTCCTGGGCAGCAGTGGTAAAGGTTGTGAGGGGTATTTTGGTCCAATCACTAATAAAAAGTCCTATTTAAGGATGTTTAAACTAGGTACTCCTATTTTGAGAAAAAAGCCATGTTTTGATCCTATTAAGGTAAATCTCCCTTTATATATATAACATTTTAATTTATATATTCTATTATTAATATAAATAGATTCACTATTCAAGGCTACGTGTTTTTTTCTTAATTTTTGAAATTGTTAGCGTATTGTGACTTTTATTTAATATATTAGTTTTTAATAATTATTTAGAGAATAACTTTAATTAATTAGGTTGCGGCGGGGCGGGGTATAGGTCGACAAGTTTGGACCCGTGTGAGTCGTGGGGCGGAGCGGGTCCACCCAATGAAGTCACGGGGCAGGTCTAGGCCTTGCAGTACGTACCCGCCCTGATCCGACCCATTGTCATGCCTAGTATGCATAAGCCTTAGTCGTTATGAATATTATTTTGTTACACTACTTCAACTATGTACAACCACACAATCACAAAAAGCATTCTCCACTGATTCCTCACCATCACCACACAGCCTACATGTCGTTAAAATGTGTACCCCATTTATTAAGATTTGATAAAGTAAGAAGTGACCAGTCCATAAGTTGGCAAAAAAATAAGGCTAAAGGGTTAAATAGGCCCTTGAACTGACTTAAAGTGTTCAATTGGTCCCTTATATGAGAGGTTCTGTCCGGCCGTCTCTAATTGTGGTGGTTCCCGGTGAAACTTTTTGATGAAGTTTTTTGAGAATCTTCTACATTAAGTCTAGTTTACTCATACCAAATTTCAGCAAAAAATTCAACCGGAAGGCAGTCAAATGATTTTTTGAAGGTAACTGTGAAGTTAAACAACGCAGTACATTTCGGAAAATCATTTGACTGCCTTCTCGGTTGAATTTTTAGCTGAACTTTGGTATGGATAAATTAGACTTAATGAAGAAGATGCTCAAAAAATTTCATCAAAAAATTCCACCAGGAACCGCCCCAATTAGAGACGGCCGGGAAGAACCTCCTATATAAGGGGCTAATTGAACACTTTAAGTCAGTTCAAGAGCCTATTTGACCCTTTAGCCAAAAAATAATTAGTCTTCGGTGAGATTTTAAAAGCCCACATTTCTGCCCATTTATTCCAGGTTCCTACTATCACGGACCCCACTAATAATATATGGAAACTATTGAACGAAAAAAGATCATTACCTTCGCCCACCCACCACAAGTTGTCTGCCCTTCATGTGAACTGATTAAATGCTAAGAATCTTCTTACATTCCTCCTGCGAAAACAAAGATGTTGCCCTCCTTACATTCCAGACCTTACCTTCCTCGTACCTTAAAGCTGCCACGTTCATGTCAAGAACACCAACCGGTTGGCATGAATGGACAAGCCCCAAACCCTTCCCCTAAAGTCATCTATCTGCCCAACCCTGAGTATCTCGACAATTACTTTCTCTCCTTCAAACATTCACCTTCATAACATGTTGGGTTTCCATAATGCTACCCCAAATATAAGAAAGGTTGTTTATAATCTGTGTCTCCAAAAAACGATGACTCCAGATGTACTAATCAAAATCGTTAGCCAAAGTTATTCGTCACTCACTTGAAAAGTCAAAAATGATAAAGTTTTAAGGGATGGAGATAGTATATAATTTGCATTATAATTATGGGTTTCCTATTCTTTTATTTGCTACACTCAAGGAGTTAGGGTGGAGGGAGGATGTGAGGGTAAGGGGTAAAAAAATGTCAATGTACAAGTTCACTTTAAGTATATCAAAATCCGAATTTTCCTTGCACTTCTTTCTTTTAGATCATACTCGTCTTTGAGACAAATATCTTCAATATTGCTCTGTGAATATTATGGAGGATTATTTGTGATGGAGTAACTACGTACTCCAAAACAAGATAGGGTTATAAATATAATTTTTTAATGGGGTACTGAAAAAGTCAGGAGTACTATAGGAAACACAATATAAGGAGGGCCCAAAAAAACAAGATAATTATTATAAAAATAAAAAGGTTGGGAGGAACCTAACTACACTTTCTTTTTTGGGAAGTATTTTTTGTTTGTTACATTTTCTCATTTTGATAAGTTTCTATTTAAGAAATACTCAATTACTTACATGTCGAACCTTTTACATATTCTCTTTCATACATTTCAACCATCTCTTCTCCTTTTCTATACTATTCACTACTCATAGTATTTTACCTATAAACTTTATGTAAAATGTAATGTAACAAACAAAAAATAAGGAAGCAGTATCATTGTAATATGACTTACTTGGGACACACATTTTCATACTTTGCACCCACCACCCCTATATTCCCTCTGTTTCTCCTGAATAATTTCACCAGGTTTGACTAGCAAAAGAAATGATAAAAGTAAAAATTTGTGGTTTAGGATTGAGTCATTCGCCGAATTGGGTACGCAGTGCTCAACACACTTACACACTCAACCAGATCACACAAGGAATTTGGATTACTTCCTCTCATCACCTCAAAAAACTTTCTCCTAGCTCGAGGAGTGGGGACTTGTGATGGAGCATATTTTCCTATACGTCAAAGCTATTTTCACAACAGGCAAGGTCATGTACTTACGCCAGTATATGAGACTAATCATATGTTGGTGAGCCAACGACATTTTGACTAGTTTATGTCAGTGAGGTCAATCCTAATGATTGTCATCGCATTTCAAGACTCACACTCATATTATCGAGCAAGGGCAAGCAGACTTGATCTACCTCTCCTCAGTTATAGTATCCACACTTGGCCGTTTCCTAGACATTCCAGATAGGCATATCAACAGTTTACGTCACAACCGATGATGCCACTTTCTTGTTCCCAAGGGCTAACAACAGTTTACGTCAGCATGACTTCACTGGGCATGTTCTCCAAGACATGTAGTACACACTTGTCATCTTCATGTTAACTAGCACTTTGGACTTAGGAAAATGCTAGGGGTACACAAGTTGTACACAATTTGTACACACAATGTCGGTCACAGACATTTGGTACGGAGTTGCCTGTGACCACAGACAAGAGTTGTCTGTGTACGCAGACAAATTTTGTCTGTTTCCACAGACATTTACTTTTTTGTAAAAAGTACTTGTCAGTGTCAGGCGGCTCTCAGTGTACTTTTTACAAAAAAATTAAATGTCTGTGGAAACAGACAAAATTTGTCTGTGTACACAGACAGCTCTTGTCTGTGGTCACAGACAACTCCGTACCAAATGTCTGTGACCGACATTATGTGTACAAGTTGTGTACAACTTGTGTACCCCTAGCATTTTCCTTGGACTTAATACCCAAGTCTTGCACTTTTGTCTATAAATGACACCTTCCCCTTTTGGGAAAGAGATGTGAAATTCATTGTACTGCAATTCTAAAAAATTTAATATACAATGCTCTTACTCTAGAACTGCATCATCTTCTCTCTATATTCCATACTACCATGATTTCCATAACCCATAAAAATTACTTTTTATAGATTTATTTACTTATTAATAATCGATATCATGAAAACCAACATCATATTCGGGAACGAAAAAGAAATTTTACTTTGCATATAAATATATATGTACAAACACGAAATTAAACATTTGAATTACTTTTTAAATGATATACCAGAATTAGATTTAATTAAATTTGATTCTCGTTTTTTAGTTGTTTCATGTGCATGGGCTTAAAATCTAGAGAAATCTATTTAATAAAAAATGAAAACATGGATAATGTACAAATACGATCACCACTATTTTCACCTTAAAATCGGATTCATTGACTCCTAAATAGAAAGATTTTATAATTTAACATGATGAGATAAGTCTTGTTTTAGGAATAAAATATAATTATTATTTTTTGAAAGAAATTTGAGCCATTTGACTAAAATTTTCTTACTTTTAAAATAAATGCATAATGAGATACGCAATGACGCATTCAGGCACAACTCCTTTTGCTTTTTTTTCTTTTGCTCATAAAAAGGGGAAAAAGTCATTGAGATTGAAAACGCTTTTGACATTTGCATGTTATTTTGACAATTAGCCATTTAACTTTCATACTGTCAATCTGTCATATCGAGTATTTACGTTATTTTTATATAATAAACTGCTTATATTAATATATAGAGAAAATGAGAACAAGAATTCAATTAATTTATCTAAACTCATTGCAACTTTAATTCACAAGCTTTAATATTAGACATATGTAATTAAAGAACATACTGACTCGTTAACCATCAAATAGACAAACATAAGCTTATAGCGATAGAATTAGTACCATTGTCACCCAATTCACCACTCACATGTCTCTAATAACTAGCTACAATAAACAAAA